TGATTGAATTGATTTATTTTAAGTGTTTCAAAGGAGTTTCGATACAAATACAGCAATTTTTTGAATTGAAATTTTCGAATTACTGTTCACATTTCCCATTGACTAGAAAGCAAGAAATGAATGAAAGTGATATCAACTTGATATGCAAGCACACAGCATTACTATTGGCTCAATCAAACTTTTTTTCGGATCCTGATTGAATGTACTGTTCAAGGTTGAGATGCACCGTAGATGTAATTAACTGTTTTACAAATGAACTCTACCACTGTAATGTTCTATCACTGTACTTTCCGACTGTATTTACGAAATGATGAGACAATAGGTAGATTTCATAAAAGTAACGCACATATTCCAAAAGATCACGAACTTTTCCCAGAATGAAACGTTTGTTTAGCAGTCGGTAGACCTGAGCTGTTTACTGCAAGGATGAGAAAATTTGAAAACTTGCTTGGACGTAGAACAATTGGTTTTAATGCAGGTTCAGCAGTTCAGTTTTAAACGTTGAATTCTTCCAAAGATGATGAACCAAAATCATCGCAACAGAGGATGAAACAGTAAACATCTATCTCACTGGCACTCATCATAATAACACTTTCTTGCGTATTCAGCATCTCTTCACCGAACATTTGAAAACCCTATATCCACTTTTGATAGACCTCTTTCGGAAAATTTGGAGTTATTCCATCTTTTGAACTATTTATTTAAGTCTTCGAGATTTCGCGAAAAGAGTCATCATTGCAATCCCTCCTTTCACTCATCAATGGCGGCTGATGATGGAAAAATTATCAAACTCAGTGAATGTGAATAGATTTGCGACTTAAAGTGAGCTATAACGATGTTGTCGAAGCATAATTTGATTGGTATGGTATCACTGACTAAGAAAACATTGATGCAATTCAGAAGAAATTGATGCAAACTTAATGTTGTAGTTATTGCCCATCATCAACTGATGAAGGCGACTCGTTTATTACATCTGGTATCAACTTTAATTTAATTTAATAACATCTGATTAATTCGAATACTCTCATTCGGCATCCAGCAAGTTGTAGAAGCATAGTTGAACCTCATCTTCTCGATAACAACCTTCCACTTAGACTACTCCTAACATAGATCTGTGTGCGCTCATGCACTCATACGAGTTGCCCTCCCAACAACATTCATTGATCATCTCATTTCACGTTGCTTTTCATCGAAGGACGAAACTTAAATTCGTGGTGAATCGCGAGAGCATCTCGTTCACTTAGTATCCATATAAAGCGCATGATACGTTCAAATTACGAAAGACTAGAAAATTTTGTATTCAAGTGGATTGCGACAATAAGGGTATAAATTCGGTATTGAAATAGTTCTACATTTTAAAACATTCGTAATTGAAATCGATGCTTTTCAAAATGAATATACCGCACGAATGGTGATTTAATGTTCGAATCTTTGGAGCAGAAGCTAATGCTGTATTATATAGGCGCAACCTTTCAATAAATTGAAAAACAACGCATCTGAACACCCAATTTTAATTAATGTGATTGGTTGACTCAACGTGCATATAGCCTTCATTTGGCATAAATTTGTTGAGTTTGTTGTGATTTGTTAGCAGAGGAGACATCATTAGAAAAAGAAACTTTATTGTTATTGTTGGTATAGCGATGAGTTTTTTTTTCATTATACTATTGGCGCAACAGTAGCAATCAGCTGCAGTGAAAACATTTTTATGGCTGATGAAAATTGTAACTATGGTCACTGAATGGTTAGGCTAGAAGGTGTGCTTATGAATCTGTCGTTATAAGTAAGAAAGTTACGAGCCACATTAAGAATACAAGTTTGGGTCGAAAGGAGCGATTGTTTATCAGTGTTAAAAATATGATGAAAACAAAGGAAATGGGTCAATTGAATAATCAGATTCAAGTGACACTTCTGAATGTTAGTACGTGTTGAAGAAAAGAATTGCATTTGAGTTCAGTGTCACATACGAACTGAAATGCAAATGATTAACACTTTTTTTGGTCTAACTTCTAAGCAACGACCACATCCTCGTGGGAATGCATCTATCAAATCTATGAGCAGTAAACACATTCACCATCAGTCCTGCTCCATTCTCAATTAAATGAATAAACGTATGTTATATTAACATCTTCAATTGTTCCATAGGCTTGGACAATCTTATTTGAAGTATTTTACCGATCTGTTCAAAGTCAGCTATCATTCGCAAATATTTTTGCTTGAATATGTTGAATGACTCTATCTTCATTGTTTTCCCATAGTTTAAATTATAACATTTTTATTGTGCAGTAGCAAAGGATAGTAGGATCAATTTCACAGGAAATATGTTCGCTACAAAATGAATCTACAATTAGTGCAAGTTCACAATCTAAAAATGCACTTATATATTTAATTTTGAGCGTATTTCGACATGAAAAATTGTATCTAAGTAATCAGTTTAAGGGGTTCTCGGCCAAAATTGAAGAGAAGAGCAGATAAACAGCATGAGGATGAAGGCAATCAGAAAGCGTTCATCCCTTCGTTGCTCCTTTCAATCATAATGCCAGCGAGCGACAAGTATGAATTCGCCCATTTCAAATGGTACAGTCTCTGAACATTTACACAACATGCTTTGCAGTGATTTGCACCAAAGACCATTTCGGGTCGATCAAGAGCAAGTTTTTTTTGCTGCTAATACTGCATTCATCACTTGTTCACTGAAGCAATCTTAACTCATTTCTAGAAACAATTCCGTCAAATTTCAGTCACATTAAGTAGTATATTGTGCATGAACTTTCAACAACCTTCTCTTTTGGGACGCAGACACTTTGAAAGGCTGAAAATGATAAATCAAAACTGGATTCTAGACGTTCTGAGCATTCCATGAAATGACCTTCATGGCTGATGACCAACAAGTTGATATTTCCCAACAGAATTGCATTATGCAAGCACTGCAACAGAATTTACTACTTCACCCACATCCTCTCAAAGTTCTGCTCATCCAATACTAATTAAGTATGATTGATAGTGTGGTGGCAGTTTGTTTTTTATGAAGCAGAATATCAAGATAACCAGTGAACAATAATAATAAGAATATTGCACCTTTGTTTACTTATGTTTTTTATAGCGAAAACAAACGAGTTCTTGTGAGGTTTATACTAATAATATATTACACAATTTATTTATTTAATCAACAATTGCAACTTGTTGCGAGTCTATGTCCCTTTAATATTACGAATATCATAAATACCACATCCTTCCTTCACCTACCTCCTTTGCGCACACTTAACGATATCAGCGTAGGGAATCATTGTCTCCATAAAAAGAATTATTGATTTGGCGATGAAGGGCTACTCTCTCATATTGCCCAATGAAGTTTGGGGAGGAGAGCTCGCAGTAGGTCCAAAAATGCCCCCTAATTAACCGCGAGAACATGCATCCAGTGATAGCTCAGAACAGCTGTCATCAACAAGCGACAACAATAATCGGCATAAGCAGCAATTAATATTCGTTGTCATAAATAAATTGGCAGTAAATAATCGCAACAACAATGAGCATTTTGCCGATCGCTCGAAGCGATCAGCAATCTGACCGCTCATTGTCCAAGTTCCAAGTGAGGTATGTACTGAATTTACAAGCCTTAAAGAGTTGAGAAATAATCGCTGAGCTTTGATGTGACAGCGACATGAACCTTTGTGAGGAAAGAAAGATATTGTAAGAAACAATTGCAAACATACAATCTAATTATCCAACTGCACTTCAAACATTCAAATACACTTTACAGTTTGGTCGATCGCTTATTTCAACAACTTCACAGCGATATGCAACATCTTATCGGCTGATGTTGCTAATTATGATGATAGACAATCAAGGCTAATATTTTACTGATTCAATCGTTTTCAGCTGATCAAGTGGACGTAGTTAACTAAAACCGAATTTTGATGTATGTTTGATGTATGTAATCTGAATTGATGTAACCTGTTGGTCATGAATACGATCACTGATTTCGTAACACATCGACATATAGAAAAATGACACTCAAGAAATCATTAGAAATTTATTCCTTAATTATAATAAGAATCAAGCGCTTCTAAAAATATCACAAAATACACTGTATGTTGATCTCGTCAATATAACGAAACATAAGGCAGTGACAATAACCGTGAACTTTGACCATTGACAAAGGCAATTTATCCAATGAAAGAAATTATTGTTGCGATCGATCAGAACGGTAAAATCTGGTTGGGTATAACGGAACCACTAGTAACAATTACCCACTGAACGAGGGTAGTTCTTCTGGCCTGATGGCAATGCTTTTTGGCATCTATGATTCTTTAATAAAACTGAAATCGCATAAGGTAAATCGCGAATAAGTTTTTGATGATAGATGTGACATTAGATAGTCGACACTTTCATATATTATAGGTTGAAATAAAATATACATGGTTATTTTTGATGAACGTTTTCATTGTTTCCGGGTTTATTATTAAACAATGTGGTTAAAAAACGGATATATCCCTACTAAGCACTTCAAAAAATATTTGGTTCAGATATGGAAGTTATTTTACACGACAAATACAAAATGATGGAATAAATTAACCAGAAAATGAAGAATATCATATATACAACAGGAAAATAGAGACTAAGATTTAGTAGTTGTGCATTGTTGTAGTGCATTCAACCAATACAGTTAAAACGGCCTTGTTAGTATTAAGCACTTCTCGGTGAAACCAAATGTGGTTAATGAGTGAATAAAAGCGAGAAAATTGTACAAGAGAAGAACAACATTGCTGCAGAAATTCCTAGATAAATTCAAGATGCAAACGTGGTTAGTCGCGTTATTTATTGTAATTGAACATTCTCAACGTTTATCAACAGCAAAAAGTTGCAGGATTGTTCAAGAGGACTTTCGAAAAGAGTGCATTCAATGATATTTGGTTGGATTCATAAGTTAGGGATTTGTTAAAGTGAAGTACTTCCACACATCACATTGAATTAAAGCCGATTTTCTGAAATGTATGAAACTAATGAAACTGGTTGAGAGCACCCATTATGCCAATACCACCAAACAGTAGAGCCAATTGGAGCAGACTCTGCCTGAAAATGCAAAAAAATTGCATAGAATATATGAAGTGGTGATTGAATGAGCTTATCGTTAGAGTATCTCAGGAATGAAATATTGATGATCGTTTCAATAAAATAAGATCACATTACTCAGAAACGAATCGCTTGAAATTAAATATCAATCCACCTTGGATTCACTTCGCGCATCAACTCAGGTAGAATATGTGCAAGAGCGATGTTCAGAAAACTACCCGCAGTGAATGGTAAAATCCACTGCGCTGCACCACCCAACACAGTGTCCGTATTAATGAATAACGCTACACAAGCACCAGCTATTCCTCCAACTGCCGTTAATAACTGAAAATATAAATTGATAATCATCTCATAACACTACTCAGTGTCAATTTACAACATGGAATGATCAGCACTAAGCAGACACTTTCCTAAATGTCGTTTTCTCGAAATTATTGATGAATCTGTGATTACAATTGTAAAATCAATGTTCAACAGCAAGGATGAACTGATTTTGTCATACTTCATAATAAACTGGAAAGACAAAAATGCAACACTTTTTAAAATCTTAAATGCTTTGGAATTCACGCTTAAAAGATGTTATTATGAAGAATCATATTACCAAAAGAGTCAACAAAATTTTCTGTGATGACACAATGCAGAATGAGGGTAAATTTGTTCACCTGTGCCCTAACAGCGGACCACTTATCGAAATCAGCGCGAAGAAGAATAGCAAAATCACTGATTTCATGTGGGAGTTCATGAATAACAATAGCAAATGTGGTTAGCATACCGAACTGCAAATATTAATGTCAGTCATATTGGAAACAAATAACCTGGTTATAAAACGACTTGGTAAATCAAAATGACAGTGATTAATTGATAGGTGTTAACAATCAAATAGAACAAATAAACACTCTATTTGATCCTTCAAATTCATTTTTATCTTCTCACCAAGCGATGGTAATTGCGTGAATGATGAATTACCACAAAACGAACCTTTGGTCCAACGAGGAATGATCCTCCAACAGCAAGTCCATGCGTGAAATTGTCAGTTATATTGGCGATTAAATTCATAATTGCACAAACCTGCAAATATTATCGAAGATGTTCAGAACAATTCATCTTGCTCATTCTTGCATCACACTGCACGGAATTATTTAAAACCTATAAACTTATAAATTAAACCCTCATCGTTGCACTCTTCCATGTTCCAAGTAATAATATCGCCTAAACTGTGGTTTCCTCGATATTCTTGCGTTCACAGCATTTTCTCAATGCACTGAGTAAACTATTGCATTTGCGATTACCAAAAAATTTCTTTAACTCGAACGGTTCAAATTAGACGTCGTATCTGTTCTTGAGCATTGAAAATGATCTTACCGTTCGTTGACTATCTTCTGTGGTTGCGCAACACTTTTCAATGATAAAGCATAACAACAGACCAGCTGTACTCCATAATCCGGCCGTTAAAATGCTCCCTTCAATGAATAGTTGTTTGCATTAATGTTACTTCTGCTGTTAACAAACAATAGTAATCACTGAACTTCCCTCACGTAAACATGAATCTGGTGTTTGTTCCCCCTCCCCCGTCCACCAGAAAACAGTTGCACTTACCAACAAATGATATTAATCAAACATACAATTTCCCCTGAGTTTCTCGGATTATTTTCTGCCTTATAAATAATTCTTTCGGCCGCGTTTCATTCTCAAATAAACTATTATTCTAGGGGGTGCGAAGGGATCTTGAAATTTTATAGGATGTGCGGGAGGGGGCGGGCGGAAATGAAGTGAAAAAGGGAACTCAGATGATAGTGAAGAAGCGAACGGCATTAGACTTTCAAAAATTCAGCAACTCTCTCGTATTCAGCAACTCAAAAATTCAGCACTATTGCAATCGCCCTACGTGAATGTTGATCCCATATAACCTTATTATCACGTTTCATAGAATAAACGTTTTAATGAGCCAGTTGAAAAGATGAACAAACGCTCTAAATTTGATATCAACCATGCCGCCTTAATTCCGAATCAAATGGAATCCATTAGTTTTCGTCTCTTAATAAAAACCAAGTCGATACTCTTCCGTTGGTATTAAGAGTTGAAGATGAGTAAGCAACAAACGGATATGTGCTCAGCGATAAGGTCGGTAACGAAATTTAACACAACCGTCAGACGTTTAGTGTTCAACAAGACTGATCAAGAAATTAATCAAATCAAAGAAATATCTCTCACCTTCATACCCAACCCATACTTCAGGCAGAAGGTGAAGAAATACATCGCCAAGTAAACTTCCAACGGCAAAACTCAACAATAAATTGAGATGGGAACGTCCTTCTGCAAATGCTGATTAAAGAAACAAATGACGAAATTCATAAAAACATTCACCAACCTACTCATCAACTGATCCACCGCATATATCTTGCAATTGTTCATTTATTGTTAATCCAGGCTCTGGATGAATCTCACCTTGAACCCTATGATAAGCCTCAGTCCAAGCCCGGTTATGAGCCTAAGCTTAAGCTCTAGAAAAAAGTTCAGACTGAGATCAAGGCTATGCCTCACCCTGACCCTAAATAGGTTCTATTTAGGGAGAACAATTGACTGTGTTTGATGCAAAACTTCGAGGAATACTGAACATAATTTTATCAAAAAGCAGATTTGGAGCTAATTTTGCCCTTATGTAACATGATTTCAAACAATACTGAATAATTTCGATTCATTTTGAACTTTGCTTGCAAAATGTGGGCAACTTTCTGAAACAATGTCAGTTACCTATGAAATTTTAATGATATTATTTTAAGAATGATAATAATAACGTGACGATAAAAGTAAATGATTACACGTACGTGATGTTTGCAAGAAGAAAGCACTGTTAACTGGCAGAATAAAGGCAGGTGCGACACCGCAAGCAACAATACAAAAACAACCACACATTGTTAATAACCATGTTTGCCACTCCACCTTTATACATTTTTGAAACTTGTTGACATCTTCAATAAACTGTTCTTCTTCGAGCCTTCGTGCATCATTTCTTCAATCACTCATCTTTATTCATTCATATTCAATAAGCGTTTATCTCGAATTCCATAACATTTCAACAACAGAATTTCTAGCAGTGCACCCAAAGTAATTGACTGAAGCCTTATGCAAAAGGGCACAGCTGGAAGCCAACATCATGAATGATTATCAAACATTTTTACGTGTCTATTCGGAAGACACATTGAATTCTGCACTCAACCATTATTTGAAATATTTTATTCGAAATTCACCTGCGTCTCCGATGTCTTTGATCAATTACGAATCTTCCATCTGGGTCAATGAGAGTGTCGGCTGGAATAGGCTGCTCAACAACCAATTTTTTATGGATGCTATCAGAATCAGCCAATAGAATTTCTGGTACTATATCTTGTTGGTCAAAATGAGGTGCTGCTGCAGGATGGTTAATTCCTGGAAATCATTACTGTTGAATGTATGTAAAGTGTTTTCTCGGCTGAGAATCCAAAAATATTTCATATTCTTGACGTTTCATATTTTGAACGAGGGAACGTGATCAAGGGTAGATCTGTAGATCTACTGAAGGCAGAGGCGTAGACTTTTCAATTTACATGATGAGGAAAAAGCTGCCGGACAACCAAACAAGATATATCGACTGGAGTTAATGAAACTCAATAACAGCATGTATAAGATGACAATTTGATTACTACAGGCTTATTACTTAAAAGCAGTAGAAGACATTTCGCTTGAAAATGAACTAGAAATATTTATTTAAGCACGATCACCGAAAGCCCTATTCTACACATGATACAACAGAAATAAAAGCAGTGTCAAATGAAACACCAAAAGAATTTTTGCATTACTGCTGGTAACATTCAAGTGGATGTTATTCCAGTGAGTAGCCACATCAATTTGAATGCACTGTAGTGCGATTTCAACAAGCACTCAGCTTTTGAAGATGCTCTCAAATGATACCAACCTTCCATCAAAACTATATGTTGTCCATTAACCAACGCGACTGCTATGGGAACACAGAAGCAATGCAGCCACCCCATCGTAGTACCTATAAATATTTAGATGAAATAGAAAACGACATTTTTTTTTCAGTATCATTGATTTCTGTCGAATAAATACAAAAATCCGAATTCAAAATTGAACTAAAACACAATTCACCATATGAAACAATATGAAATAATTCATTCATTTTTCGAGAAATTAAGAGTGTGATGTTTAAAGAACATTATTAGGGTAGTCCTAATTATGAGATATTATACAAAGCGTATTTTGTGGTTACATCTTTAAATGACACTCAATCAACCCTCTGAATGTCAACGTTCAAAGTCAGGTTCATATCTAGCTTTGTGATTACTTGAACATCGAGTTCGTAAATATGCGGTGGTTACAAATTCCTAGGTTTCGCAATGATGACTATGCGAAGCTACAACGTTCTTTATATTCATCATTTCTGGAAAATTTAAAAAGAAAAAATTCTAAGTACCCAGAAATCGCTTTGATTAGTTTCAAATTTCAATTTCAACTAGTTTTGAGTTGTCCAATAATAGCTGTTGATCTAGTTGGAGACTTTGACCACATAAACTAAGATTGCTTACGTTGCGAACGGTACTGCGATTAAGATTATAAGAAATCATAGACATTTCCGTATTTTTGAAGTAATTGGTTCCTTAAAATGAGTATTCCGCTAATAACTTCAGTTTATCAAATAATCAAACAGATATTCACAGAACTGATGGCAAAGGAAGTGATACAATAGAGAAAAAGAAGCATTCATCTTGTGATGAAGATCGAAGGCAATTTTCGTGACATTCGGTAAATGGTCTTTAATGAGTTAAAGATGAGGATTCACTCGAGAAGGTATAACAAGAGTGAAGGCCGTTTTATAATCGGAATATGAGCAACCATCAAAACAAGTCTCAAAAGAACGGTATATGAAGAGAGAAATTGATGAATAGAAACCGGATAAAATTTGAAATGCTAGACGAGAGCAGTGAAGAAGAGGTTTCATGCAAGATCATGAAAAGAAACGCATTCAAAACATTTCACCGTTCAATCACTGGTTCACTTCAATTGGTATTGCATTATTAATAACGAATGGAATGGAATTTGTCGTTGAACGCTTTTCGAAATGGGGCGACACAGTGCCGACAGCAATGTGCATTTGCATACACATCAAAAAATGTTTAGTGGTAATTAACATTCTTACTTATGGTAACCAACAGACATGGATATTTATACGCATCATCTCGCATTCAATTTCAATTACGCTTTGACTATGAGTTCAAATCAATTACGTAGCGATATACTCGCATGTTCGCTCTCTCGAGCAGCCATTTAGACTTTAGAGAGTTCAACTTTATAACGCAATGTTCATTTAAACACTGAAAAAGTTTTCGGGCCGGTTGAGAACCGTCTTTAATTAACTGTCGAGAGGCAAGCATGAGCTTATTTCTCAGTCAACAGTAAATGACTCCGAGTGATTTTGTCATATTGAATACAAATTTGCAATCCAGATCCCTCCATTGCAAATAATTTTTACGTTTCTTAATTTAGATATCTGATAGTGTTATGCATGGTTGCTGATTCTAGTAAGTAAACCATCGAAAGTTATTTTCACTAATAAATCACAAAGTATTTCTGCTTATAAATCCAGTCGTATCCGTTCCAATTAGTGTTCACTATAGTGCAGCAGAAGTAACTGCTGCTAATTTCCGCTATACGAAAAAAGAAGCGAGCTATCGCACCACAGAAAAACAGCTGCGCTATTAGCAGAATAGTGAATAGCTCGCTACTGCTTATCACTGAATAAATGTGATTTTGTACTTCGTATCAACGATTCAAACAGTGACTTCTGTTGAAATACTGACGTTGATTTTAAAATTGTACTCCACATAAATTCATCATGAACACGACTAAATTTGCAAGACTGTAGAAGTTCACATTCTCATGCAGTGCTCACTACACATCACAAGAAATTAATGATTTCAGCACAATCAAACATTCTTTCGCGGTACAAAAATTTTGGTTATGAATCCGAAATTGAATCAGTGAGAATTAGTTTACATACACCAATAACAGAAAAGCTGAACTCGATGCATGGAATAAAAATATTCGTTTGACTGATTGACCAATTAAAGGCAGACTGATCAAGACTAAAAGTAATGCAGTTGAACATAGTGATATATCTTTTTGACTTCAATGATTTCAATAGCAAACGAAATGAATAGTGAATCGTCAAGGTGTCAAGCGAAATAAGTGTCAGAAACAATGGAATGACATTCTTCAGAGAAAAAAAACCGAGCAATTACATTCAAGCGTATTTCTGAGTGAACATTTCGCAAAATACGTTGCTGCATTGAAATTATCGTCAGCATATGCTTCGACATCCAGATTGTTTTTCAAAAAGAAGCTCTCTAAGCAGTGTAATCTGCATTACATATCTCAATTTTAAGGAAGAGAAAAACGTCAAATGAAATTGCATAATGAGCATGGAACGAAATGAAGAGCAGATTAAAGAGGCTAGAAGGGTGTCGGTGCACTTTATGACTGAAAACTTCCTGAAACGGTTCTTCGATGATGTTTTGCCTATTAGTCTTAAAAGATGAGGTAAGACGCTTTTGAGAAGCAAATCAAGAAGATAGTTGGCTGCATTAAAACAATTCACTGAGTTCAGTGATTGATCGGTACTGTCTGTTCTAATCATACCGAGACATTTTGACATGAAAGTTACCACCTCGATGATATTCTGCAGTAACAATTCGTTTTTTGTGTTTGTCTTCGTTTCAGATACAAGAGATTTTAGGACTGAATATAGTATGCACTGAATACAGCAGCGTGCAAGTGGCGCATAAAGAGAGCATGAAAATTAAAACTGAATTATAGCAAAGATAGAAGAGTGAGTAAGAATAGACTTGCCAGAGCAAAACGATCAGTTTCTGATGATTAGTCTACTCACAGCTGGTTAATTGCCGTTTAACTCTGCTTAAATGTAGTTGCACAGTGTAAAATGACAGGAAAAGAGCTTGATGAATTGAACTTTATCGATACGATCACAAATGAAGAGTTATCAACGGAATAATTTGCGAATGTTCACTCACAAGAATGTGTAAAACGAAGAAGGATGTGTAAAACGTGAGCAATCCTTGCTACCTACTCATCATTCACAAGAAAACTCTCGACGCAAACATTTCACTCACTGAAGAATTTGCTCATCGAAGTGCGAGATCAAAACCTCAACGCTGATCGCCGACAATAAAGAAACTTGAATGTTTATAACCATTCGTTGAAGTATCATCAACAGTTTACACATAACTATGATCGCATTCGCGAAACGGCTGCAATTCGATCGCGTATCATCGATGTGCTAAGAGAGTGAGAAAGAGAAGTATTATACACGAATGATAGAATGTGAATGCTGCTGCATATGAGTATGTAATACTGAACTAACTCACTCAAACATCCTTAACGTTGAGCACCAAATGACTTCTTCGAAAATTGGGTCAATTTCGACGTGATACGGGCTTTGAGATGGTCATACATACAATCGCTTTCTACAAATTACATATCTCTGTATTTCTCCGTCTACACACA